CGGGTCTCCATCACGGTAGACGCAGCCTCCTCTTTCTTACAGAGTGATTGACCGTCAAGGTCACTAGAAGCCACATTCAAAATTTCTGATCCAGAATCTATCAACAGGAAGAACAAACAGCGTGAATACTATGCAAAGAGGGTATTTGCCTATCTTCTCTCATTTGCACATGCTCAGCAAGTCACAGAACATCAGGCTTAAATTATAATACCGTGTTTCCCCCAAAATAAGACCTACCCATAAAATAAGCCCTAGCAGGATTTCTAAGCATTTGCACAATATAAGAATATAAGCCCAGGCCGGGCTCCATGACTCACACCTGTAATCCTAGCTCTCTGGAAGGCTGAGGCGGACGGATCGTTTGAGCTCAGGAGCTCGAAACCAACCAGAGCAAGAGCAAGACCCCGTCTCTACTATAAATAGAAAGAAATTAATTGGCCAACTAACATATATAGAAAAAAATTAGCCAGGCATGGTGGTGCATGCCTGTAGTCCCAGCTACTTTGGGAGCTGAGGCAGGAGGCTTACTTGAGCCCAGGAGTTTGAGGTTGCTGTGAGCTAGGTTGATGCCACGGCACTCACTCTAGCCTGGGCAACAAAGTGAGACTCTGTCTCAAAAAAAAAAAAGAATATAACCCTACCCCCAAAATAAGACCTAATGATGGGTGTGGCTACGCAGCGTATCTGCACAAACATGCATTTCGTTGTGAACGGTAAAGAAGATGAGCAGCCCTTCTCATCTGCCCCATTGTGACAGCCTCTATCCCAGAGGTGACCCAAAAGCTGCAGGCAGCCCCACCAACAAGATGGGCTCCCCCTGTCAGGTCCCGGCCATCCTGTGCATGCTGCAAGCTGGGGCTTTGAGGGGAAAATAACACATCCCCTGAAAATAAGCCCTAGGGTGTCTTCTGGAGGAAAAATAAATGTAAGACCCTGTGTTATTTTCGGGGAAACATGGTACTAACACTCCTTTTGTCTCTCTTTTCCAAGTCCACTCACCACTGGAAGTTACAGTACTGTCCGTCGATGAAGTGCCTCCAGATGATGGTAGTATGGGATGTTCCCTGCCAAAAGGACAGAAGAAATATTTTGGAACGTCAGATCCAGGAATTCTCCTAAAAGCCAACTAAATATGCACACAAATTCACACGCACAGCAAAAACAGGCAAACCTGGACTGCTGGCAGGGCTCCTCAGAGGTAAGCTGTTGAAGGGTGTAAGTGTAGTTTCCACTCTAAAAGATGGAGCAAGCCTGTAAGCTATTGGAGTAACTATCCTCAGTAGCTCAATAATGTTATTTAATATTAATTTTTATAAAATAATTCGTATAGTCTAGAGAAAAGATGTCAAAGAGGTAGCCATGGCCCTCATGTATGAGGACGTTACCAATTTTTTTTTCCAATTCTGTAGATAGAGCAAAAATTACAGTATATTGTAATGCAACTGAAATGTTTCCTATGGCCAGGATTGACTGGACATAACTGGGTTTCGACTGTGGCATAGACATGACATTGCTTGCTTAGGAAACTCTTAGAATCAGAATCTATCAGGTTAGAGGGATGGACCAGTTAGTAATGGTCCACTCAGGAGGCAGGAGAATTAACCAGGTGACATGTTACATCCTTTTCTGCTACTTGACTTTGAAAACAAACTAGTTGTTCTCCACCATTCCCAGTGAGACACCATTATATAAAACTGACACTTAAGGGAGGAATAAACTCCAATTTCTACCAAAACCCAGAAAGATCAGCCAAGGAAAATCCATTCTGTTGTTTGAACTCTAGATTTAAATTTGAGATATTGGTGCTAAATTAGAGTAGCCGTAAAATTGCAGAAGTGGAACACGTGTCATGGGTTAATTGAAGAACATCTTTCTTTAAACTCCACCTCATATTTAATAAGGAAATGTTTTTAATTAAAACTGCACCAAGTTACCATTTTTCACCTGTTATATGGACAAAGATGCAAAAACTTGATTAAATACTGTTGGTAAAGCTGTAAGGGAAAAGGGAAATTATTGTAGAGAGTGTAAATTTTTGTAACTACACTAGTCCCCCCCGTTATCGACAGGGTCTACATTCCAAGACATCCAGTGGATTCCTGAAACTGTGGATAGTACCGAACCCTACATGTCCTGTTTTTTCCTATATATACATACATATGATAAATTTAATTTAGTAATTAGGCACATTAAGAGATTAATAATAATAGAACAAGTCTAACAATATATTGTAATAACAGTTATATGTATGTAGCCTTGCTTTATCTGTCTCTCAAAATATCTTATATGTATTAATAATTAATATTAAATATTTTTAGACCATGGTTGACCACAGGTAACTGAAACCATGGAAAGCAAAACCTCAGATAGGGAGGGACTACTATAATATGGACGGAAATTCTCTAATATCTATCAAAATGTTAAATATACATATCCTCTGCTGTGATAAAATTGATCTTATAGATAAATGTACACACATCCAAAATGACATGTGTAAGCTTATTTATTGCAGCATTGTCTGTAATAACTTAGAAACAAGTTATCTATCAATGGAAGATTCTATTTTGGCATATCCGTGTAACTGAATACTAATATGCAGGCACAAAACATATATAAGGGGACTTTGTATGGTGGCTGATGCCTATAAGCTCAGCACTGTGGGAGGGCTCAGGTAGGATGATTGCTTGAGGCCAGGAGTTGGAAGTTATAGTGAACTATGATCACACCACTACACTCCAGCTTGAGTAACAGAGCAAGACCCTATCTCTAGGAAAACAAAAACAAAAAACCCCAAACCCAAACTTGTGTAAGGAGACTTTATTCTTTGAATCATATGAAGGGACTATTGTTTCTTGAAAAAAAGTACAGAATGTTATATATAGCATGTAAAATTTTGTGAAAAAAATACAAAAAATTTTTATTCATACAACAGTGGAAGACTAGACAAAAATTAGTAACATTGTCTACTGGGAGATAAACTAGATTTCCAGCAGACGTGGAAGGAAGAGGAAATTTCCCCTATAATGTATTTTATGCTTTCTGATTTATGAACCATATGAATCTGCTGTCTTAAAATCAACAGAAAAACTAAACTGAAATTTCCATACAGAAAAATTATATATCTCCTAAGAAACTGGTTACCATTTTGTTCTTTTACCATACAAATTTTAAAAATATACATCCTTTAAATATTTTTTCCTAGAAATAAAGCCTTTCTGGAACTGCTGAGCTTTGTGCCTGCAGTGGATTAAGTGCAGGACAGTGGGCCAAGTGGAAAGGAGAATAATTATCGGGTGCATTCCGGTACAAATAAAGTACACAAAAAGAACGGACAATGACAAAAAGGAATGGCACAAGTTAGAAGTGCATCTTTTCTTCTTAGTGTGATGAATTTTATGTAGGAAGATGATACCATGTTGTTTTAGAAGGATGTCATACTTTGTTATCAGCCTTGCCTATGTAATTTTTAAAGAAAATCTGTTTGTCAAGCTATAAAAAAAGCTATGAAGCTACTCACTGTTCCTCCTTCCTTCATCCGTTTTCTGTTATTATACTAGTAATGTGTTTGATTAAAAAAAGCAGCAGCAGCCTAAAAAAGATTTTTTTTTAAATTCTACTCTTTGAAAGTCATTTAGACAGATGTTCATTTCTTTTAAGAAATCTTTTGTGGTTTTACCTTCCTTGTGGACCTTACCTGCTCCATCCCAATTCTGAGTCAATGGGCACGTCTGTGTTTTTACTTTTTATTTATTTTATTTCAGCACATTATGGGGGTACAAACGTTAAGGTTACATGCATTGCCCTTGCCTCCCCTCCTCCCTCGAGTCAGAGCTTCAATGTATATATTTTTTGTAGTACGTAATTTTTCTCACATGCTAATAATGCCTTTGCCACTTGCTGGTCTGATATATTGCCACCCTCACTGTTTCTTCCTCTCTTCCTCTTCACTGCTCCCCCACAAATGTTTTGTGTGTTTCCTTTTTCCCATAGGCACAAGTCCAGCTCATGAGAATATCGCATCCCAGGACTCTACGAATAAGGATAAAACCGTATTAACTATGGTAAGAAAATACATGCACGCTAACACTAAAAGTAATAATATATTACAATGGTAGAACTGTCTCTTTAAGTTTGCAAAGTACTCTTAAAAGTATTAATATTATTTTGTCATTTCAAACTATCATGAGGTTGATAGAATTTAATTACATCAATATTTTATAGACAAGGAAGTTGAGGCAAAAGTGTTTTTGTGACTTGTCCAACATCACAGAGTCAGAACTAGGACCTTCTGGCTTCACCTTGATCGATCGATCTTTCTTTCTTTCTTTCTCTCTCTCTCTCTTTCTTTCTTTCTTTCTTTCTTTCTTTCTTTCTTTCTTTCTTTCTTTCTTTCTTTCACTCACTCGTTTATTTTTTCATCAAAGCTCTATTGGAAATAAGCTATGTATCTCTTAACAGAGGACTGCTTAAATAAATGAATGCATTGAAGTTGAATAAAACAGTGATATCTATCCTAATAATATATTCTAATCAGATGAAGAAACAGATAGTTAATAATTAGAGTGTGATTAGTGATTCGAAAGAAAAAATGCTTGGGGTGGAAGGCCAGAAAAGGTGTCATGGAGGAGGTACCATGTAAGTAAAGCTGAATGTTCTGTAGTTGCATGGCAAAGCTTGAGAAACATCATAAGGGTTGCTGTTCATAGAAAAGAGTTAAATTTCTTTCCTTAATGAGGACTCATATTTTCATTCATTATTAAAATTCATTATCGTATGAATTAATAATTATTGAAGAGTAACTTATGGACTATGGTTCCAATTCCACAATTCTTCAAGGGTCTTATCTATTAGTCCCTCCATCGTGGGTGTGGAGTTTTGTGTGGGTATATTACCATTGCTTTCCCCCCAGGGTATAAGCATAACCATTTTTCTAGTTAGGCCCATCTGGTTGCAAGAAACAGAGACCCATGCAAGATGCAAGCTAGCTCGAGTTAAGAGGTGGTTATGGCATGGCTATATTTGGGCAATAAGGTTTTTACAGCATTTCAGTCTGAAGGGAGCAGAATGACTGGACATGTGATTTGGGATGATCCTTTGACTGTACTGTGAAGTAGAGTCGACCCTTGGTTTCCGTAGGGTATTGGTTCCAGGACCCCTGAGGATACCAAAATCAGCAGATGCTCAAGTCCCTTCTATAAAATGGTGTAATATTTACATAAACCCACGCATATCCTCTTGTATACTTAAATCATTTCTAGATTACTTATACTACCTAATAGAATGTAAATGCTATGTAAATGGTTATTATACTATACTGTTAAGGAATAATGACGAGAAAGGTCTGTACGTGTTCGCTACAGACGGAACCATCGTAGACATGATCACATTGTCGATTCTGGGTTGGTTGAATCTGTAGGGGTGAGACCTGGAGATGCAGAATGCTGACGGTGCAGGGAGAGTGTAGTGCGGGCTGGGCTGGCACACGTGCTTAAAACGGGTGCCCCTTGTGAAAAGTGAACAGAAGAAAATCCTTTAGTCTCTCATAAAAGAAGCTTCTGAGAAAAAGTTCCTTCTCATCTCAAAAAAACGTAGGCACAAAGACACTTAAAAAAATAATGGATTCTCCAGCCTGGGTGACAGAGTGGAAAACAAAATAATGGATTGGAAAATTGTGGTAATGGAGGGGGTGGGACTGGTGAGGATACCATGGCGATAAGTCAGACACGATGAGGGCAATGAATTGAGTGACGGTGGAGAAAAGGAGACTCAAATTTGAGTTGTATTTAAGGGGCAGAATTCACAGCAGGTTGTGAAGTATCAGGGGTGTGGGAAAGGTAGAGACACCCAGGTTTGTGGCTTAACCTACAGGATGAATAGAATAGCGTGAGAATAGGGAGGAGGAAGGGATTAATAGATGGTTTTAGACACTGCAGTGAGGTCAAGTATGATAAAGACTGACAATTATCAGTTGGATTTGGCAACAGGGAGTTCGCCGATAACTGTTGAGAGCACTTTCCTTGGAGTGCTGGATGAAAGGGTGAAGTAGTTAATTGATCACATATGGGAGACGAACTGGAAACAGCAGCTATGGGCAACTCCTCCCAGAAGTGTGGCTATGGAGGGCACGAGAAGAAAATGCCATGGCTGGGAAAGGTCATGGGATTGGGGGAAGATTCAAATAACTAGTGGATATTTATATGTTGGTGGCAACAATTCAGTCGTATGTGTGTACTACTATATTTGTTACATTTTATTGAAACCTTAGTTTCAATTGTCTAAAAATTACATGACATGTATCAATGGCCCTACCAAGGAAAGTTGTCTTTTTAGACTTAGTTTTTAATGGAAATTTTTTTTGATTTTCTAAATTTGTCCATTAATCTCAGAATGTTGAATAATTATTATTTTAAAATGTCTTATATACGTGAAATTTTCCCATTAGGTGTGCCCAGGCAGTACAGTACAGCCCTGTTATTATGGGGATGCTTGTTACACAGATACCTGTAGAAGACAGTTGGTCAGTGACCTTAAAACATATTCATATAAAGTAAAAGCCTAGCATGACCCAGTCTTAGCAGCTGTCTTTGCCAATTACTCCAAAAACCCATCTAGAAAGCCACATGTGCTATCCCTATATCACCCTCACCATTCCTCTTCATCCATCCAATCCTACCTCTCCACCACACTCCAGCATGTCCCTTGTCTGCAGAGACTCACTGTGCTATTCAAGCCATGGTGCTGCTTTTCTTATTTAGAGCCCTTATTTATCTGTATCTCATTTATTTTGTAATTAGTCCTAGTTTGCATTGTTGTAACTTGTGTCACGTTGGCAGCTTTTCATATATTTATGTCCATTTTGCCTTGACTAGCTTGGAATCCCCCTTTGAACCAGTCTTGTTTTCTTCTTCTTTTTCTTTTCTTTCTTTCTTTTTTTGGGGAGGACAGAGTCTTGCTCTGTTGCCTGGGCTAGAGTGTCGTGGCATCAGCCTAGCTCACAGCAACCTCAAACTCCTGGGCTCAAGCGATCCTTCTGTCTCAGCCTCCCAAGTAGCTGGGACTACAGGAATGTGCCACGATGCTCAGCTAATTTTTTCTATTTTTAGTAGAGATGGGGTCTCACTCTTGCTCAGGCTGGTTTCGAACTCCTGACTTCCAGGGATCCTCCTGCCTCAGTCTGCCAGAGTGCTAGGATTACAGGCATGAGCCACCGTGCCTGGCCTGAACCAGTCTCCTTTTCTTCTTAACCCTCAGTACAGTTCCTTGTATTACTATAAAAGGTTTTCGACAGAGTAGGGTTAGGAAAGGGCAGGAAGTTGGGAAATGATTGGTTGTGAGGGATTTCTATTCTCTGTGCGGCAATAAAATCTCTTTATGATTTCAGGAAGCCAAAGAGGAACCAGAGACAATAGAAGAACATAAAAAAGAATGTGCTTCAGGAGGTAAGCAATGTTCTCTCTCAGCCCCCATGGGGACTTTTGTCCCCCGCTGATATGTTTGTGAGTGGAATTTTTGAGTGACGACATGCCACCGACAAATTCCACATCTCTGGATAAGATCAGCCAATAGGACCAATTCTTGATTCCATCTGGACCATTTTTTAAAGGTCACATTTACATTTCACTGGCTGTTTGTTCCCAGAAAACTTGTAATAACTAGTGTCTGTTGTGAACTAAGAACCAAGCAACGTTGGTGGTAAATTCTAAGTTCTACTTCAAGTTCTTTTTTAGTACTACATCTAAAAGTAAGTTGGCCAACATTTACAGAATAAGTGCCAATGTGCTTCCCTTCTCAGCCTACCTCCATTAAGAAGGAATAGTGGATACAGTTCAGACTTCAGATTCTTCTAGACTCTAGACTGGGTCAGTCTCTGAATAGGTCTGTGATCCTGGACACTACTTAGTCTTAAGTCTCAGTTTTCTCATCTGCAAAATGGAAATGATGAGTTAAAAAAAAAAAGTACACTTTATTGGGAATATACTAGATGCTAAATCCTAGGCTAAATTACTTTATGTGCATAGTTTTATTTAGTCCTCCAGGTACTGCGTGAGGTAAGCAAACTGTGATTCAGTTGTTTAGCCTTATAAAATGTGGACAGGAATGGTATCTACCGCAGAAGGTTTGCAGTGAGGATTGAAGAAGTTACTATGCACGAGGCACTTAGAAAAGTGACTGGCACCAAAGTTCTTATGAAAGTCTCTACTATGTAAAAATAATATCGGCCTTATTTTGTAGATGGCTTCATGAGGTTGTGGCTTGTTCAAGACCAGATAGCTGTAAGAATCAAACAAAGCTCAGATTTATTTATCTATGATTTTTATTTCAAAATATTAGGGGGTGAAAGTGTTCTTGTTACATGGATGAGTTGTATAGTGCTGAAGTCAAGGCTAAAGCTCAGATTTAAACCAAGTTTGTTCAACCTTAAATCCTAAGTTATTTACATAATAACTAATATATTGTTCTTTATAAAGTTCTCAAAGAAAATCATGGTACGTGTAAAGAGCTTTGTGCTGGGGCTGGCATATAGTAAGTGTGTGCTTGTTGCCATGTTTATTGTTGCTGTTATTGTTACTAGTATTATTGCTACTACTGTTATTATTGCTAGTACTATTATTGACAGCTACTATTCCTCCTGCCAGTGCTATTAAAGCCTTGCAAAGAAGGGCCAGGACACAGAGGAAGGCATGCATCTGGCCATTGGATTAATAATAAACACATTCAAATGTAAACAGAACAAATTGAGCTGGTCCTTGATTCTGAGACATCTTTAGGTTTCAAGGACCATTCACATGCTGAAGTGTGAGCCAATGTTTTAATGTCATTGTGATCCCAACAGTTTAACATAACATTATCTTACCATTTAAACAAGCACATTATTAGCTGTCATTTCAGACATATTTAAATGAAATGCCTTTGGTTAGTGGAGACAGAACACAACAATATGGGATGAAATATTATGAAACATTGTTACTGCTTTTAAATGTTAAGCCTTCTTAACCAAATAATATTTTACTGTCTTTTAATAGACACTGCTGTTTCTCCTCTTCCTGTAACTACTGTGAAATCAGTTAACTTTAGACAAAGTGACAAGTAAGTGCTTCTTTCACATAACATGTTAACATGTTTCACTTTTCAGTTGGATTATGTTTGAATAAGTTCTTTGTCTTATCCCACAGCACTTCTGCTAATGAGAAGGAGGTGGAGGTGAGTTCTAAAGCACCTGTGTTTTTCTTTCAAAAAGAAAAAGAAGTGTTTCAGACTCACATGCTGCAGTTGCTCTGTACTTTTGCACAAGCTCTCATACGCCTGGAGTCTGTTCAGCTTGGCAGTCACTAAGTGCAGAGGAAGCCTGCGCATGCCAGTTTTGTGTCGCTGGGAGGAGAAAGAAATGCCTCTGTATCATCTGGAATTAAGCTGAAATATCTGACCCCGTCTAATTGTCTCTCCTCTGCCTCACATCATTTTGACAACAGGCAGAATTTCTCAGGTTATCTTTGGGATTTAAGTGCGACTGGTTTACGTTGGAGAAAAGAGTGAAACTTGAAGAGAGATCCCGGGACTTGGCAGAAGACAATTTGAAGAAAGAAATTACTAACTGTCTAAAGCTATTAGAGGTGAGAATCAGAACATTTAGGAGTCTAAACATTTGGTTATATTTTTAATAATGTTTTTGTGTAATGATCTATGAGTTTGTGTGTACGACCCACACCAATACCAGCTACCAAGCCCTGCCTGACTCATGTGAACTAACAGAGAGAATTCAGGATCAGGCTGAAATACAAGTTTCACTATTAGGAGAATATCAGCAATAAAATAACAAAATGTCCTTTAAAATGTTGTATGAGTCATCTGCCTTCTGTCTGGATTTTCAAATAGATTTCAGGCAGAAAAGTAATCATTCAGAAAACTGAGCAATAGAGGAGATATCCATTTTAAGCCTTGCAGAAGAGAATCAGAAATCTATTTCCAGGCCGGGCACAGTGGCTCACGCCTGTAATCCCAGCACTCTGAGAGGCCGAGGCAGGAGGGATCGCTTAAGGTCAGGAGTTTGAGACCAGCCTGAGCAAGAGCAAGACCCTGTCTCTACCATAAATAGAAAATATTAGCCAGAAATGGTGGCTCATGTCTGTAATCCTAGCACTCTGGGAGGCTGAGGCAGGAGGATTGTTTGAACCCAAGAGTCTGAGGTTGCTGTGAGCTAGGCTGATGCCACGGCACTCTAGCCCAGGCAACAGAGCAAGACTAAGTCTCAAAAAAATTTTTGAAAAATTTGTGGATGAACTGTCCATCTTAATAACATACTGTTTATAGAATCTCATAGGCTGGCTGGGCGTGGTGGCTAACACTTGTACTCCTAGCACTCTGGGAGGTGGAGGCTGGTGGATTGCTCAAGGTCAGGAGTTTGAAACCAGCCTGAGCAAGAGCGAGACAGCGTCTCTACTAAAAAATAGAAAGAAATTATTTGGCCAACAAAAAATATGTATAAAAAATTAGCCGGGCATGGTGGTGCATGCCTGTAGTCCCAGCTACTCGGGAGGGTGAGGCAGAAGGATTGCTTGAGCCCAGGAGTTTGAGGCTGCTGTAAGCTAGGCTGATGTCATGGCACTCTAGCCTGGGCAACAGAGCAAGACTTTGTGTCAAAAAAAAACAATAAAATAAAAAGAAATCTATTTCCATTTATGATTAACTGAGGGAAGAGAATGGTGACTGATTCAGTCTTGTTAGGTGATACGCAAGCCTGCTGTAAGGTACTGGGAGAAGAATGAGGGTACATAGAAGTGCGACAACTTACTGTTAATCCTTCGATATTATGAGGTTTTCATAAATTTAGAGGTAGATTGGAAAATTGAGAGATTTAATTTTGGATGAAGAAAATTAAAATTGAGAAACTATATTTTGTTATTTTTATTGTGATAAAAATATGACAAAATTTACTATCTTAACCATTTTTTAAGTGCATAGTTTAGTAGTGTAAATTTATTTGCATTGTTGCAAAACAGAACTCCAGAACTTTTCATCTTCTGAAACTGAAACTCTATACCTGTTAACTCCCCACTTTTCAACTTAGTCCCTAATAAGCACCGTTCTACTGATTTTATGAATTCAACTGCTTTAGAGACTTCATGTAAGTGGATTCATGCAGCATTTGTCTTTTGTAATTGGCTTATCTCACTTAGCATAATGTCTGCAAGGCTTATCCACATACAGCATGTGACAGATTCCCCTTTTAAGGCTAAATAATACTGTGTTGTATGTCTGTACCACATTTTGCTTATTTGTTCATTCATTGATGGACATTCGGGTTGCTTCCACTTATTGGCTATTGTGAATGTGCTGTTAGAAACGGGAGTACAAATATCTCTTGGAGTCCCTGCTTTCAATTCTTATGAGTTTATATGTACCCAGAAGGGGAATTGCTGGATCATATGGTAATTCTGTGTTTAATTTTTTGAGGAACCACCATATTTTCCATAACAGCTGTACCATTTTACATTGCCACCAACAGTGCACAGGTTTCAATTTCTCCAAATTCTCACCAACACTTGTCATTTTTTGTTCATTTGAGTTTATCCCATCCTACTGGGTATGAGGTGATATCTCATTGTGGTTTTGGTTTGCATTTCTCTGATGATTAGTGATGTTGTACATCTTTTCATATGTTTGTTGGCCATTTGTATATCTTCTTTGGGAAAAGATCTATTTGAGTACTTTGTTTATTTTCTGATTGAGTTATTTGGCATTTTTTTTTGAGTTGTAGAAGTTCTTTATATATTTTGTTCTATAAAGTTAATATACTTTATATTTTAATCCCTTATCAGTTATATGATTTGAAAATATTTACTCCCATTTTGTAGATTGAATTTTCACTATGTTAATTGGGTTCTTTGCACAAAAACTTGTAAGTTTGATATTCCATTTTGTCTATTTTTCACTTTTATTGCTTGTGCTTTTGATGTCATATCTAAAAATCATTGCCAGATCCAATGTTCCAAAGATTTCCCCCTCTGTTTTCTTCTAGGATTTTTAAAGTTTTGGGTCTTACTTTTAGGCACCTAATCCATTTTGAGTTAATTTTTGTATGTGGTATAAGGGTACAACTTCATTCTTTTGCATGTGGATATCCAGTTTTCTCAGCATCATTTTGTTGAAGAGACTATTCTTTCCCCATTGCACATTCTTGGCACCCTTGTCAAAGATCATTTGACTCTATATTTGAGTGTTTATTTCTGCGTGGTCTATTCTATTTCACTGGTTTACATGTTTGTTTTTATGCCAGTATCATACTATTTTAATTACTGAAGCTTTGTAATATGTTTTGAAATCAGGAAGTGTGAGTCCTCCAACTTAGTCCTGTTGGATCCCTCCTAGATTCCCTAGGAATTTTAGGATAAATGTTTCTATTTCTTCAAAAAATGCCATTAGAATTCTGGTAGAGATTTTCTTGAATCTGTGGATCACTTTGGGTAGTATGGACATCTTAACAAAATTAGGTCTATGAATCCATGAACATAAGATCTTTCCATTTATTTGTGTTGTCTTTAACTTCTTTCAGCAATGTTTTGTAGTTTTCAGTATACAAGTCTTTCACCTCCTTGGTTAGGTTTATTTCTAAATATTCTTTTTTGATGCTATTGTAAGTGGAATTGTTTTCTTAATTTCTTTTTTGAAAATTTTGAGTGTATAGAAACACGAGTAAGTTTTTGTGTTAATTTTGTATCCTTCAATTTTGTTGAATGTGTATATTCTAATAGACTTTTTGTGAAATTTTTAGTGTTTACTACATATAAGTTCATGTCATCTGCAAATAGAATAATTTTACTCCTTTTACAATGTGGAGATGCCTTTTTTTCCTTTTCTTGCCCAATTGTTCTGACTAGAACTTCTAGTACTATATTGAATAGAAATGGTGAGAGTGGGCATCTTTTCCTTGTTCCTTTCTTAAATGAAAAGCTTCCAGTCTTTCACCATGGAGTATAATATTTTCTGTAGGTTTTTCATATATGACTTTTGTTGTGTTGAGATAATTTTCTTCTGTTCCTAGTTTAAGTGTTTTTTTCCAATCATGAATGGGTATTGAATCTTATCCCATGCTTTTTCTGCATGGGTTGAGATGATCATGTGATTTTTGTCCTCCTTTTTATTAATATGATATATTACATTGATTGATTTTCATGTGTGGAACCATTCTTGCAGTCTAGAAATAAATCCCACTTTTTCATGATGTATAATCCTTTTAATGTGCTATTGAATTCAGTTTACTAGTATTTTGTTGAGGATTTTTTTTTTTTTTTTGAGACAGTGTCTTACTCTGTTGCCTGGGCTAGAGTGCCATGGCATCAGCCTAGCTCACAGCAACCTCAGACCCCTGGGCTCAAGCAATCCTCCTGTCTCAGCCTCCCAAGTAGCTGGGACTACAGGCATGTGCCACCATGCCTGGCTAATATATATATATATATATAGTTGTCCAGCTAATTTCATTCATTTTTTTTTTTTTTTTTTTAGTAGAGACAGGGTCTCACTCTTGCTCAGCTGATCTCAAACTCCTGAGCTCAAACGATCCTCCCTCCTTGGCCCCCCAGAGTGCTAGGATTATAGACGTGAGCCACCACGCCTGACCCGAGAATTTTTTTTTTTTAATTAAATTTTTTTTAATTCAGGATATTATGGTTTTTATATCAATATTTATCAGAGATATTGAACTGTAGTTTTCTTTTCTTGTAATGTCTTTGTTTGGCCTTGGCATTAAGGTAATGTAGGCCTCATAGAATGAGCTCGGACGTGTTTCTTCTTCAATTTTTTGGAAGAGTTTTAAGAGGATTGGCATTGATTCTTTAAATGTTTGGTAGAATTCCCCAGTGAAGCCATTTAGTCATGGGCTTTTCTTTGTTGGGAGGTTTTTGATTACTGATCCAATCTCCGTACTAGTTATAGGTCTTACTAGTTATAGATTTTATAGTTTTTAAATAGATTTTATAGTTTTTCACGATTCAGGCTTGGTTAACCATATTCTGTTTTGTTAACAAGTGACATCTGCTCTTCCCTTCCCAAGTGGAGGTGGTTATTTAAACCACTGTAAGAAGCTGCATGTCTGACAATTGCCATTCTAGTTGGTTAGCAACTCACTGAAAACAACCCATACACATCTGTTTCACAAGTGGCTACTTTTCACTGAGCACCAACTCGGTGACAAGGAGTTGACATCTGTTACCTCCCCTATCAGAGTATTCCTGGAAAGGTGTGATTGTCTCCACCTGACTGATGAGGAAACAGCAAATCAAAAAGTTGACATTTTAGGCCAGGTGTGGTGGCTCACACCTGTAATCCTAGCACTCTGGGAGGCCAAGGTGGGTGGATCATTTGAGCTCAGGAGTTCAAGACCAGCCTGAGCCAAGAGCGAGACCCCGTCTCTACTAAAAATAGAAATTAATTGGCCAACTAAAAATATATAAAAAATTAGCCAGGCATGGTGGTGCATGCCTGTAGTCCCAGCTACTCAGGAGGCTGAGCCAGGAGGATTGCTTGAGCCCAGGAGTTTGAGGTTGCTGTGAGCTAGGCTGATGCCATGGCACTCTAGCCCAGGCAACAGAGTGAGACTCTGTCTCAAAAAAAAAAAAAGAAAGAAGAAAGAAAACGTTGACATTTTAACATTTCTAGAATTACAGTACAATTTACAATCAGTGGTGCCTAATGGTTTTATAGGTAAAACTTTTTTTTTCTTAATGATATACAAAATAATGGTACTCTTAAAATTTATGGTGTTTTAGGTTTGGGTGAGTCTTAGGAATTCACTAACAATCGTACAGCTAATGAGCGATGTGCAAAGTCTTGTTTGCTTCCAAATCTTCTGTTCTCTTACTTCTGTCTCTACCCTAGTTAGAAGGATGGTTCTTTTTTTTTTATTATTTATTTTTTTTTATTTTGGCATATTATGGGGGTACAGATTTTAAGGTTTCAATAAATGCCCTTTTCCCTCCCTCCCCCCAGAAGGATGGTTCTTCATCATGAAGGGCACCATCTTGTACAAAGGACACTGGATTGGGAGGAATATTCATAAGGCAATGAATGCTTACTCACCTAGCCAGCCCAGGCATACCTTACCATCCATGGAAGAGCAAGTGTAGTAGTCACAACATTTCTAATTCCAGTATGTTTGGTTACTTTTCTCAAAATTCCAACTTATCTTCCTCAAATGATATATCCAATTCATTTATAAGCATAATCTCTTTACCATTACCATAATCTCTTTACCATTTCTGAAAATTCCAACTTGTGTTCCTCAAATGATACATCCAGTTCATTCATGGGCATTAATCTCTTTACCATATTAGTTGATGGTAAAAGGCTTATCTTATTAATTGAAAGATATGAATGCACATGAGGAAGTGGCAAGTTTGGGAAGTGTAAAGTAAGAAGGGATCAAGAATAGACATAAAAGGTTTGTGATCACCTGCACATATCTACCTGTTAGGCAACAAAGACATGAATATTTTGATATCATTCATTATTGGTCTTTGCTGCTTTTCATCCTCCACCAAGATAATTGAGATTGAACTGTCTTCCACATTTGCTATATGGTCAGTGTTAGAATCACTTGCTGAATGCTTGTGTTGGATATCTTTTAACACTCTGCTCTTTGTGCAGTCTTTAACACCTCTGTGTGAAGATGACAACCAGGCCCAGGAAATAATTAAGAAGCTGGAGAAGAGTATCACATTTCTTAGCCAGTGCACAGTACGAGTGGCCAGTAGGGCTGAGATGCTGGGAGCCATTAATCAGGTAACCTTGTCTCCATTTCTCCAGTTACAGTGAAATTCCTAAAAGCATTTATTTCCCCTGAGATTATGGATTACATTCATAGGAAGAAGTTTTAAAAAATGCTTCTTTGTTACATAAGACATACACATTTAATGTAGAAAAAATGAAATATACAAATAAAAATGTAAACAAATCTCTGATAATAACATTAGCCAGTGACCATTATAAAAATGTTGTCATATATTTTTCTAGATACTCCCCTCATGCAGTGTTATAGTATAACCTTCTTTTTCATTCAACACGTAGCATAGATAACTTTCCATATGAAATATATATATATATATATAATGTGTGTGTGTATATATATATAATTTTATGGTATTTTATTGGTTGAATAGATATAAATAATTATTCCACCAATCCGGTATGTTTGATCATTTCAGGATGTTCTTGATCATTAGCTTTTATAGACAATGCGAAAATAAATATCCTTGTACATGCACCTTTGTGCACTTAGAGAAGTAGAATTTCAAATTTTTTTGTGAGCAAATCTGGGGAGACTGGCATTTTTTTGATCAACATACTTGTTAAAATATATTTTCATAAGGAGCAGATATTTAATTATGGTGGTAGTTTGAATTTGATCATTTCTTATACATTTCTTTAAATCCTAGTTCCTCATAATCCCTCACTAGAGAATGACATTCTTTGGTTTATTTTTTACTAAAGTTGTGTGTGCACATAGTTTTTTTCCTAAAAAATCAAGTAACTCTGTAAGTCGTATGGCCCAATTTCTCATGCTCCAGAGCAACAACTTTCAACTCTTCTAGCTTGTTTTGTGTTTGCATCTACCTTTCTAAGTATCATGCTATGCTGTCATTTCATTGTCTATTTTCTGTTTTAGGTATCGTCTGTTGTTTTCCCACTATGAAGATGAATATTTAGTTCTTTATCATCCTGTGCCCTCACACATTTTCACTGTCCTTCACCCTGTTGTTGTCCTCCCTTCTTGAAGCTTGAACCAAGCTTGAACTCCATGGTCAAACATAGTATTCACTACCTGGCATGAACCCCCAATACTTTCCCCTTTCTTGTTTTGTCTGAATCATTTGGCAAATCTACACCCTACACTCCTGTTTAAATGCACTTCCCCACCTGCTGCTGCCTGAGTGGCTGGGAAACATCACAGCCCTGTGCTGACTGAGCTCCTTTTAAGTCCCTCGTCCCCAATCTCAGGTCAGTCCTTGGGCTTCCTGTCATTCACCCTCCCTCTCTTTTAAATATCAGCTTCACACCCTTGTCTTTCTCCTCAAAGCAAGGTCATGTCCTTCCCTGTATTCTCTGTCAAATACAGGTACTGACTTTGCTTCCGACCTCACTGAGAAAATTGAGACAGTCAGGAGGGAACTGCTCCAAGCCCTGAACCCCCCTAAAAAGCTGCCTTCCTCCTCTTACTAAAGATGAGTTGTCTCGCATCCTATCTCGGGCCAGCCTTCCCACCTGTATATGAGATCCCATCGTCTCTAATTTACTCATGGTCGTGAACTCAGATTCTCCCAACCTTCCTCCATCTTCAGTGCTTCCCCACTCTACTGAACCATTTTATCAGCACACAAATATGTTGTTTACAAGATGGAGAAAATGACACAGACAAAAAAGCCTTTAACCCTTTCTTCTCTGGGTACCACCTGGTTTCTCGGCTCCCACGTATAGCAAGTCTCAACAGAATGGTACTTGCTCCGTCCAATCTCTCTCTTCCCTCTCTCTCTCTCTTAAACTTATTCTGATCAGTCTTTTCCCTCCACAGAGCTGATTTTTGCCAAGGTTACCAATGACCTCCACATGACCAAATTCAGTTTCTCAGTCCTTATCTGGCATGGCTGAGCTCTTCCTCTTCTTGGAAACACTCTACTCACTTAGCTTCCAGGTACCACATTCCCCTGACTCTTCCCTCCACATCACGGGCTGCCCCTTCCAGGTTCCTTTATGGTTGCATCTCTCCTCCCAGACCTCTCAGTACTGAAGAGCCCCAGGACTCCCCTCGTGTACACCTGATCTCCCTCTGCACTCAGTGCCCATCTGCCCTCAATCCCCATATCATGACTCCCAGATTCTTACGTTTGGACTCATCCACTCTCTCGAGTTCCAGGCTGGAATATACTACTGCTGGCTCAACATGTCCACTTGGTTGTTTGATAAACAGCTCAAACTTAACATCCATAACTAAACGGCTCATGGTCCCTCCCAAACCTACCCCCACCCATCATCTCCTTACCTTGGTCAAAAGCAACTCTTTCCTTCCAGTTGCTCAAGCCAAAACTGGGGCTGGAGAGTGGTAATTCTCAACGCCTTTCTCTCTTACTTTGCATCCAGTCCTACAGAAAATCCTGATGGCTCTACCATCAGAGTATATGTAGAATTCAACCACTTATTTCAATCTCTATTGACACCATCTTGATCTAAGCCCTCATTCTATTTCTTCCAGATTAATACAATAGCTTCCTAGGGCTATAGCAGCATCCCCAGGATCAAACCAGGGATCTTTAGATCTGTTAGTCTAACGCTCTCCCAACTGAGCTATTTTGGCTAGGGTTACAATAGCTTCCTAAATGATCTATTTCCACCTCATCCCAATCCCTCCTCCCAGTATCATCTCTTCTTAATGAAGCAGCCAGAGTAATCCTTTTAAAACTTAAGCCAGATCATGTTACTTTTTGGTTCAAAGTCCTCCAGTGGCCCCTCACTTTACCAAGGGTAAAAACCAATGTCTTACGATGGCTTAAAAGGATCTACGTGCTTTCCCTGACCTCTTATGTCTTGCTCTTTATCTCCTGTGACTGTCTTCATGGACTACTGTACTGCAGCCACACCAGTCTCTCTGCTGGTCATCAGACATGCTAGGCAACCTAGGTTCTTTCTAGGCTTTTCTTCCTGTTTTAGGGTTCAGCTTTTGCAGGTCTTAGTCATTTACCATAGTTGTCCTTCTATACAGCTTTCAAAATCTTGTGGCTCTTCTGTTTTGTTTGCCATTGAGATGCATGTCTTTGAAAAAAAACTTTATTGTCATGTTAGTGGGGTTTAGGAATGGAATGAAGGTAAATACATGTGTTTAATCACCATCCTTTAATAGAGTATTAAGAATAGAATTTTTAGTGTAAATTTGCTTTTTTTTTTTCTTACTAGGAAAGCCGGGTTAGTAAAGCAGTTGAAGTGATGATTCAGCATGTAGAAAACTTGAAGAGAATGTATGCCAAAGAGCATGCTGAATTAGAAGAACTGAAACAAGTTCTTTTGCAGAATGAAAGGTCTTTCAATCCTCTTGAAGATGAAGGTAATAAAAGTTGAAGATAATACTATTATGTTTTTCTTACATTCTCCTCTTTTATGCTAAGTCTTACTATACCTTTAGTATAAAACCCTTAGGTAAAGGTTATATTAGAATAAATAATTCATTGCTGTTATTTATATAGCCAAAAGTAAGATGTCAGAAAACAGGTTGGGAGACATGAAGGATTCTTTGGTAATGAGACCAAAAATTCCTAAATTCAATTTAGATAGCTGTAATGAGAGAATATATTTAATTCAACTCAGTAAGTTGACCCTAGTATTCTCCTATTTAGGATATGTTAGGATTGGCTTTTTCTCCGTATATAAAGTAAGGATCAATAACTTAAATGAGCCATTCTCTACAACAATGATTTTGATTCCTCAAAGAAGGGAAGACCCTGTCCCATTAAGTTGACTAAAGGACTGAAAGACAGACACATGAGGCTGTGAAAAATATTTTCACATATGGTTTCTATAAATTGTACAATAGTTTTATTTTATTTTTTTTTCATTTTTTAAGATGGGGTCTTACTATGTTGTCCAGGCTGGGCTCAAGTGATCCTCCTGCCTCAGCCTCCTGAGTAGATAGGGCTACAGGTGTGCACCACCATGCCCAACTAATTAAAACATTTTTTTTTATAGAGATGGGGGTCTTGCTATGTTGCTCAGGCTGGTCTCGGATTCCTGGGCTCAAGCTATCGTCTTGCTTCAGCCTCCCAAAGTACAGGGATTATAGGCACGGACCACCACCCTGGCTCAGAATTCTTATTTTAACGATCTGTTGCCTCTCCTAGAAAAAGTAACCGTATTTGATACTCTTCTGAACTGTACTTTTGGATTCCTTTCTCCAGTAGACATTCCTTTAGTGCCCACCCTGTGCTGGGTAGGTATTGCAGACATCCTCAGTGACACAGACCAAGGTCTCTGTATTTCACTGGTTAAGATGGCAATTGTTATGAAACACAAAATAAATGGTAAACAGATATTTATATCGCTCAGTAGTCTCTAGAGTCTTAAGGAAATCTTTTCTGACCTTTGCTTTACTTTGTAAACAATTAAGACACAGGTTTAACATAAATTGCATGTGTAATATCTAATATATACAAATGTGTTTTTCCTTTCAGATGACTGCCAAATTAAAAAACGTTCAGGTTCTATAAACTCTAAGGTATCTACTCATTCACTTAACAAATGTCTATGAAATGCTTGTAAGTAAGATGGTTTTAAAATATTATTTGAAGCTACACGGCTTTAAATGTAAATCATAAAACAGTGATTTTAATTCATGTCGATAGGTGTATGTATATGTGTATTTATGGAAGTGTGCTTTTAATGCCTCCTGCTATATTTGTATATCAGTTAAGTTTGCCTGGCAGCACAGGGAAAGCTGATATGACAATAGTTTCTCTCCTGTCATGTAAAACCAAAGTTGGGAACAGGCAGTCTGATAGTGGCCAGAGCAGCTTCACAAAACCCTTGGGAACTATAGTCCCCTTCCTGCTGCTTTGCTTCCTTCCACCTCTTGGTCTAGAATGGCTATTCGGATCCAGGCACCATGTTGTCATTATGTCAAGGAAAAGGAAGAAACAGATCCAGGTGTTCCCTTTCCCTGTAAAGACTGTTTCTAGAAATCCAACATAACATTCCCCGTTTTGTTCTCGGTTGTGAATGAGACTGGAAAATATGATTTCTATTCTTGAGACTGGATGGCTAGCTGAAAATCAGGGGGCTTGTTACTAAATAGTCTATGAAGAGGAGAATTTGGATATTGAAGGTCGACCATTAGTTTTTGCCACAGTTTGAAAATCAGGATTTCATAAATATACAGACTTTTTGAGTAACAGACTTTAAAATCATTCCATACAAGTCCTCCCCCCCCCACAGATGAGGAAAGAGAGAAGCACAAAAGTGATTAGTGATGATCATGTGCTGGTAATACCATGGAATTTTACAAGGATGCAAACCAGGTTTCTTGGGCTGCAATTTGATATTCTTGATGCTCAACTAACCTATTTAACCTAATTAAATTATGGATGATGGTTAAAAAAAGGATTCACATAGAACCCATTTAAATTAGTGTATTTACTACATTTAAAGTATTTTTTTTTTTTTTTTTTTTTGAGACAGAGTCTCACTTTGTTGCCCAGGCTAGAGTGAGTGCCGTGGCGTCAGCCTGGCTCACAGCAACCTCAATCTCCGGGGCTCAGCGATCCTACTGCCTCAGCCTCCCGAGTAGCTGGGACTACAGGCATGCGCCACCATGCCCGGCTAATTTTTTGTATATATATTTTTAGTTGGTCAATTAATTTATTTCTATTTTTGGTAGAGACGGGGTCTCGCTCAGGCTGGTTTCGAACTCCTGACCTTGAGCAATCCGCCCGCCTCGGCCTCCCAAAGTGCTAGGATTACAGGCGTGAGCCACCGCGCCCGGCCTAAAGTATTTTTATATACCAAAGTTGCACTTATATAAACTTTAAGAATCACATAATAATATATATAACACTTTCTTGTGCAAATCTCAAGGCTGATATGTAAACATATCCATTCATTAAAATATCATGAAAATCTTTAATGTGTTAAATGCAAAAACTGAAACCATGGGAAAAAACTATAAATGTAGGTAACTGTATCCTCATGAGTTGGGAGAATCTTTCTAAGCATAAAAGCAATGGTAGCAAAAGAGAGAAAGACAAGAATAGATTTGCCTGGATCAACAATAAGAAAACCTTTCTGCCAGAAATATGAACAAAATTAATATAGGCAAAGGTTATAAACAAGTGGTTTTCAGAGCATAATACATGGTTATTCAACATAAAAATGCAATGTTTAGTGTTATTAGAAGTCATATGCAAACTCAAGAAATCTTATATTTTTGTTTGGCATAAATTGTATAGTAATAATCCAATGTTAGAGAAGGTAGGATATAAATTGGTAAAATATTTTGGAAGTCAGTTTGACCATAACAAGATCCTTGAAAGTATATCTGTTGTTAAACTCAGCAGTGGTCAAATGCATGGATGTGCATGTACAAGGATATTCATCAGTGTTGCTTGCAACCATAAAATATTACGAATTTTCTAAATGTACATTTTCCTCCTCTGGTAGCCATCTTCTCTTCGAAGAGTGACCATTGCCTCTTTACCCAGAAATATTGGAAATGTAGGAATGGTAAGAAAATTCCTGAGATTTCTTAGTCAAAAGTAAATTTAATTTATTTTCATATGGCAAAAATATAAACTACACTAAATTCATTTTTTATCATTTCTTTAACATCTGAAATTCTAAAGGTGGCTGGGATGGAAAATAATGAACAATTCAGTAGGAGGTCAAGCAGTTGGTAAGTATAATTTTATGGCTGCTCTTTGGGAACCTTACTATTTTATAGTTGGGCTAAAGTAAATGAGTATTTGAAATAAGTAATATAGTAACATTTGATTTGTACAGAGTATAAGTAGAATGAATAATTATATGAATTGGTATATGATCATGAATTTTTTATTATGAAGTAGGAGGTCTGAATATGCCAAAAAATTAATTAGAACATATGTAATTTTCATGTTGATTTAAACAGTAGCAAATAAATTGATAATGGCTAAGGACGTATATGATTTGACAAGTGGTTATAATCATCTTTATTTAGGCGTATTTTGGGGTCAAAGCAGAGTGAACACCGTCCCTCATTACATCGATTTATTAGCACCTATTCCTGGGCAGATGCTGAAGAAGAAAAATGTGAACTAAAGTAGGTGAAGCTTGGTGTGTGTATTAACCTGACATGAACTGGGGCATAAACAATGGGAACCATTTTATTCCATGGAGATGAAGTCATGCTGCATGATCAAAAAGATAATTCATTGTAGAAGACTTTTATAGACTGTAAAGCACTATGTAAATGTTATTTGTGAATACATTCACTCTTGTAGCTCTCGAAATGGCAAGGTTTGAGGTCTTAAGTTAGAAAAGACTGTGGAATTTGCCAAATTTTTAAAGATAATTTTTTTCCTGTCTGGCCATCAGATGGAAAGGTTAATAAAGAGCCACAGAAGTAAAATGGTCATCGACTTAGGTTTTAAAAAAACATGAAATATATATGTGACATATATGTATTGTATAACATAGGCAGCATATGTAACATGTATATACATCTATCTTCCATATATGTAAATCAAAAGTAGGGGAAACATAAAACTCTATCACTGTGTCTGTATCTAGCAAATTAAACAACATATACTTCTATAGTGAAAAGTAAAGGACAAGGAGGGACAAGAAGTAATGTCACCTCTAAGACCTTGTGTGATGTTGGACAAATTGCTTAACCTTACATGGTCTCAGTTTTCTCATATGTTGAATTGAGAGATCTTAATGAAATGATTTTATGTTCGTTTTACACATTTTCATTGAGTGCCTACCATGTGATAGACTCTATGCTCAATCTTAAGGAATATAAAGATGAGCAAGGACAGAGTGCCAACCTGAAAGGGTCTTTTTTGTTTGTTTTTCTTTTAAGTCCTGGGAGCCTACTGTATGTGTTGCAAACTCTTTTCAGATTTAGGGTTAACATAATGGATCTTTTTTGAGCTGTGTAGAGAAAAAATTCAACAGGTTTCTTCAAAAGACTATAATTTATTCTTTACCTTTTGTTAGTATGGTATGATTTCTACTGAGAAGTCTTTGTAAACAAAAATACTGATATCTTGAGAATTTTACAAGAATGTAACTTATTCTGGCTTTTTAGGCCTTGTTTTCTCTAAAAACTAAATATAAATTCCCTATAGATGTTTGACTGAAAAAAACTTTGAGACACATTTTCCCTTAGCAATTGTGAGGCCATTTAAGAGCTTGGGAATTCAAGTTCAACTAGGAACTTCATCAGTAAACAAGATAATGAAGCAATTGTGTTTTGTTTAACCTCTCTTTAATATGATTCAATTTAAAATAGTCAATCTAATTGCTCTTTCCAGTTGAGTACTAGTTTAGCTTTTTATTTTAACTAGCTTTACATTAAAAATATTTTCATAAACATTTCTAAATTTATTAACATTTTTAAAGAAAGAAATGAACTTTGATGTTATTCCAAGTTAGCACTGATCAGAGAAAAGAGTAAAATCAACTGCTAATCCAGGACATTTAAAAAGATATGGTAGAAGAATAATGAGGAAAAATGTTTATGTTGAGTGAAAAAAATACAAAGAGTAAGAAACATGGTATCCACATTTGTTTTTTAAAGTATGATTAAGTGCATTTATACACATTTTAGAGAAAGAAATCATAGTAATAACATTGGTTAATTATGAGTGGTGAGATTAACTTTTATGTTTTCTTTGTAAATTTCCCCTTTTTGCATCTTTGGCTAATATCCCAACATCCTATACAAACATTTTTCTAAATAGAAGAAGTTATTTTGTAAAATTAATTTCCTATAAAAGGTTTAAATTATAAATTTGTGATTTGACTTTTAGAGTTAGATATTTATCAAAGCATCTCAAAACATATTCGTGAGCCTCTTAAGTTATATTGTAAAGTTTTAGCAATATTTTATAAATAATTATGGCATACTATCCTTAGTTTCAAATATTGAAAAACAATATTTATTCGCAGAACTAAAGATGACTCAGAACCACCTGGAGAAGAAATAGTAGAAAGGACAAGGAAGCCAAGTCTTTCTGAAAAGAAAAACAATCCATCAAAGTGGGATGTCTCTTCAGTGTAAGTTGTCTAACTTGCTAAATGCCACCTTTATAGTGCAATGGGAAAGGGTAAGGCAGTATTAATCAAATTACTTTACTAAAAGACATGTCCATTAGTTATACTTAAGATGAATAACAAAGGAGGCAGGAGAGTTTATAGGAACTCGACTCGGAAGCAGGCAGCCTAGGTTTGAATTCCAGCTCTCTACCTAGCTTCGTGACCTGGGCATGTTCGTTCATTTTTTGAGTAACACTTCCTTCATCTGTAAGATGAAGATGGTAATAGTACCTATGTCATTGTGGTGTTGTCACGATTAAATGAACTAGCATGTGTAAAATGCTTCATACAGTGTCTAGCACAGGGTTAACTATTTTCAAAAACTTAAATGCCATAATACATTTTTTGGCAGATATTTCTAAAAGAAATTGTTTAAATTTTAGTATAGAGTATGGTGAGAAATGTGCCATGTTTCTAGATAGCAGTCCCCCCCTTATCCATAGTTTCACTTTCATGATCCAAAAATAGGTGAGTAATGGTACAATAAGATATTTTGAGAGGGAGAGACCACATTCACATAACTTTTATTATGGTGTATTGTTACAATTGTTCTATTTATTACTAGCTATTGTTAATCTCTTACTGTGCCTAATTTATAGATTAAATTTTATCATAGGAATGTATGATAGGAAAAATACACATATATATGCTTTAGTACATACATATATGTCCTGTTCTACCCAGTAAATAATATTTTTGTTTCCACTTTAGGAATATAAGTTACCTTACCTCATTGAAAGAATGATATAAATACTTGTATGAACTTGTTAGGAGTAAACCACATTATTTTCAGATTCTCATTATAGCATTTATTTTTTTCTTTTGAGATAGGGTCTTGCTCTGTTGCCCAGCCTGGAGTGCAGTGGCAGGATCATAACTCACTGCAGCCTCAAACTCCTAGGCTCAGGAGATCTTGCCACCTCAGCCTCCCAAGTAGCTGGGACTACAGGCCTATGCCTGTAACCACTTCTGGCTAATTATCTTATTTTTTGTAGAGAAGAGGGCCTATGTTGCTCAGGCTGTAATTCTAATAATTGTAAGGGGGGGCGAGGAGGGAGCACACTGTGCCCAAAATCAAAATGATAAATCATAATATGTAGATTATAAGGCAGTATTGGCGGTATGTAGAGCAGATCATTGACTGGATTGGTATTGTTAGCAAAAGGAGTGTTCCTAATAACAAGTTATATTGATTACCAAATTCTATATTTGTGTTTTCCTTATAGTTATGATACAATAGCTTCCTGGGCAACAAATCTCAAGACTTCCATCAGAAAGGCTAATAAAGCACTCTGGCTTTCTCTTGCACTCATTGTGCTGTTTGCAGCTTTGATGAGCTTCCTCACAGGCCAATTTTTCCAAAAGTCCGTGGATGCTGCTCCCATACAGGAAGGGGACACCTGGATATCTTTAGAACATATCTTGTGGCCATTTACCAGACTCCAACACAACGGGCCACCACCAATGTGACAGCAGCACATGCTAATATATGTATCTTGATTTTTGAAGTTTCAGTATCTGAACTTTATAAATTAGTAACTTAGCTGGGAAAGTATAGCATGAAACCAGAGGTTTTCAGAATGACTGTAAGATATTTTACATTCCCTCTTTTCCTGATTATCTCCCCAACTAAAATACAAGGAGGAAGAAGCCTGCCTATGATCTTTTAATGAGTTTTTGAGGAAGAAATATATTGTTTTGTTAAAGTTTATTGAAATAAAGAATCATTCAAATCTTCATACAGTGAAAGTTGAAATTCTCAATAGGCCAAGTATTCAAAGGAAAATTTGAGTAGAAAATGCTGATTAGACAATTTTAATTGCCTATCTAAAATATATTCACTCATTATACTTTATTGAAGAAATACCTGATTTTTTTTCAACATGCTTGATTTTTCATACTGATTAAAATTTCTAAGTGGAGATTAAGAATAACTGAGCAATCTGGTAGAAAGTAGCATTTGACATACGGCATCAAGAAACTGACAGTTGGAACTCCGGGTTTTCTCCATTGCTTCTCCAGAAGCAAAATCCTTAACCATGTGATATAAAGTAGAGTGAAACTCAGTTTCTTCTTTAAGTGCTTCAGAAAATGTCTCACTCTCTTCATTGATCTTAAGTGCCTGTGCTCTATCACCACTAAACATGATAAGGGCCCAATTAGGATTCTCAGTACGTTCTTTAGTAAGGTGTTCCTTCACCTAAAGAAAAAAAAAAACTGTTAAGTTCCTCTTTTATCAAGTATTTTGGTAGTAGTTGAGCCCTTCAAATAATATTCTAAGTCCCCCAAATTGCTAAAGTTAATATTCTTAATGTATCATTTATTGAATTTTTTTAAACCATGAAACTGTTTATATCTTGGTGATTACTGACCTTATCCACATGTATTAATTCATGCAACAAATATTTATTGAATGTCTATCATGTTCTAGGTGCTAGAAATATAACAGTGAAATAAAACACAGAAATAACTAACTTAACTGCCTTCAACAACAAAACCCTACCCTCAAATAGCTTACATTTAAGTAAGGGAAACACAATAAACAAGAAAAATAAATACAGTGGCTTGTTTATGCTAAAACATTTATCAGTCAGCCTTTAGAATTTGATACCTTCTCTACCAGGTAATAGTAACTGTGTCAGAAAGTTAAGCTGGAAGCCTAATCCTCTCAAGACAGAGTTTGTGAATCATAGATATGTTCTTGAGTCAACATAAAGAGATGAGGATTCTGGCCTGAAGTCAAGAGCATTTGATACCATAATGAACAACAAAGGCATAACCTTTACATACTTTGGATTTATATTTTTGACAAACTTTTAAAAATTTTGAAATTTTAAGACTCCATTTTGAATGTTTTGGGTTGTACCTTTTTAAGAACTAGTACTTTGTTTTGGAGGACAAAGTTTTATGGATTTTTACATACTATACCTTAAATATAACTTTTGTAGAATTACATCGTAGGTTCCACTTGCTCCAACTAAATGCAAAAGCAGAACTTAGTAGAGCCATTTGTCGATAAGCTTTCATTTCTACCAAAGGAACCTGTCAATATAGAAACAAATGGAATTGATCTTAGAGCCTCCCATCTTTGGCATACATTCAGTCTATTTTCAACACAGAAGGATCCACTTAAAATTGTCAGAGTTACATGACTCCTCTCTCAAAACTGGGTAGTGGCTTTCCTTTTCTCTCAGAATAGAACCCAAAGTTAACAATGATCTACAAGGCCCTCCATGACCTGACACCTCAGCCCCCAACCTCCTCATGTATATATTCCATTATCTCTCTGCCTTATCTCCTTGTCTTCTCCCTTTGCTCTCTGTTCCAGGCCTCCCTGATGTTCCTCCAATTCTCAAACAGACCAGGTCACTCCCTCAGGGCTCTTGTACTAGCTGTTCTACCTGCAAGCTGCTTCCCCAGATAAACACCTGGCTTAATTTCCTACCTTCAAGTTTTGCTCAAATCTCAGAGCCTCTTCCCTGACACCCTATTTGATATTGAACACTGCCTCAACCCCACTACTCCTGATCTACCTTTTCTTATTTCCATAGCATTTTTCACCTTTTTCATATACTAGATCATTTTTTTTCCTTCTACTATGATGTAAGCTCCACAAGGGCAAGGACCTTTGTTTTATTCACTGATATATCCTAATCATCTAACAATATCTAGCATACTCTGTATTCAGGAAAAAAAACTTTTCATTGAATATTCTGAAAACATCAATAGGATATTATATTCAACACTGTAGAGTAACAGGTAATTTGAGTTACAAAAACCAAGGGTTTTCTCTATGTACATGCCCTTAGTTATATGATTATTTCCAAATGTTATAAAATATATACCTACATTGTCATTTTCTGGTGCATTCATAACCATGTTCTTGAGCATAGAACTCATCTGCCTACAAACACACCTTTCTTGGTGTCTTCATTCACGTATCACAAATGTTTCCTAAAAAATCTGTATTCTAGGAATATGCTAGGGGCCAGAAAAATTAAAGTAGATTAAGAAACAGCCCCCATCCTCAAGAAGCTCACAGTTTAACCTGGAGGAGGGATCTTATTTAACTAACACCTTCCATAATATGAAAATCTCTATGCACATAAACTAGAAAACAGAGAAAATGGACAAATTCCTGGAAACACACAATCTCTCAGAATCAATCAGGAAGAAATAGAACTTGAAAGCAGTAATAAAAATCTTCCAACCAAAAAAAAAAAAAAACCCCATACCAGATAGATTCACAGTCGAATTCTACCAGATCTACAAAGAAGAGCTGATATCCATATTGCAGAAATTATTCCACAACACTGAGAATAAGGAAATCCTCCTAACTCATTCTATAAAGCCAGTATCACCTTGATTTCAAAGCCAGAAAAGGACACAATAAAAAAACGACAGACTAATATTCCTCATAGATGCAAAAAACCAGTCAATTGATGCAGAAAAAGCATTCAACAAAATCCAGCACCTTTTAATGACAAAAACCCTCAACAGATCAGGCATAGAAGGAACATATCTCAAAATTATAAAAGCCATATATGACAAATGCACAGCCAACATCATGCTGAATGAGAAAATGTTGAAAGCATTCTAATAACGAACAAGAAAAGGGTGGCCATGACCATTTCTATTCAACATAGTGCTGGAAGTCCTAGCCAGAGTAATCAGGCAAGGGGAAAAAAAGAAAGCATATCCAAATCAAGAAAGGGGAGGTTAAACTACTGTTGTTTGTTGATGGTCTGATCTTATATCTAGAAAACCACATAGACTCCACCACCAAGAGACTCCTGGAATTGATAAATAAATTCAGCAAAGTTCTCACCTTACAAAATCAACATAAACAAATAAGCATTCCTATACACCAACAGCAAATAAGAGTCAAAAGACCCAGCAGCATTCACAGTAGCTATAAAGAAAATAAAATACCTAAGAATATGCTTAGTCAAGGGGTGAAAGATCTCTACAAAGAGAACTACAAAATACTGAGAAAAGAAATTGCAGATGATACCAAAAAATGGAAAAACACATCATGCTCTTGGATTGGTAGAATCAACACCATTAAATGTCCATACTAAAAGGGATTTACAGATTCCATGCAATCTCCATCAAAATACCAACATCATATTTCACAGATCTAGAAAAAATAATTCTGTGCTTCATTTGGAACCAGAAAAGAGCCTGAATGACCAAAGCAATCTTAAGCAAAAAGAACAAATCTGGAGGCATCACATTATCAGACTTCAAATTATACTACAAGGCTATAGTAAACAAAACAGCATGGTATTGGTACAAAAATAGAGACATAGACCAAAGAAACAGAATTGAGAACTCAGATATAAAACCATCCACATAAGGCCAACTGACCTTTGACAAAGCAGACAACAACATATACTGGGAAAAAGAAGCTCTATTCAATAAATGGTGCTAGGAGTATTGGATAGCCACATGCAGAAGAACGAAACAAGATCCATCTCTCACCAATTACAAAAATTAATTCAAGATAGATAAAAGACTTCAATGTAAGGCATGAAACCATAAGAACTCTAGAAGAAAATGCTGGAAAAACTCTTCTAGATATTGGCCTATGCAAAGAATTTATGAAGAAGACCTCAATGGCAATCACAGCAACAACAAAAATAGGACTTGCAAAAATTAAAAAGCTTCTAAACAGCTAAGAAAATAACAGACCAAACAGTCAACCTACAGAATGAGAGAAAATATTCACAAACTATATATCCGATAAAGAGCTAATAATCAGAATCTACAAAGAACTCAAGCAAACCAGCAAGAAGAAGGAAAAAAACACATTAAAAAGTGGGCAAAACACATGAACAGAAGCTTTTCAAAAGATAGACAAATGGCCAATAAACATATGAAAATGCTCAACATCATTAATCATCAAAGAAATGCAAATTAAAACCACAATGAGCTATCAGCTAACCACAGTTAGAATAGCTTTTATTAAAATATCCCAAAACAATAGATGTTATTTATATAATCCTATTTATATGAAACTTATAAAGAAGTAAAGTCTACAGAAACAGAAACCAAATAAATGGTGTCTGAGACTGGATGAGAGCAGAAATTTACAGTAGAGGGGCATAAGAAAACTTCCTAGAGATGATAAAAATGGTCAAAAACTGGATTGTCATGATATTGTACAACTATATACATTACTAAAACTCATTAAACTGTACACTTACAATGAGTATACTTTGTGTAATATGTACTATATTCAAGATTGAGAAAAGAACAAAACACGTGCTGGCATGGATAGAGAGAAAAAGAAACACTTCTACACTGTTGGTGGGACTGCAAATTAGTACAATCTCTATGGAAAACAGTATGGAGATTCCTGAAAGAACTAAAAGTAGACATATCATTTGATCCAGAAATTCCACTACTGGGTATTTACCCAAAAGAAAAAAAGGCATTTTATAAAACATACACTTGAATGTTTATTGCAGCACTATTCACAATTGCAAAGATGTGGAATCAATCCAAGTGCCCATCAATTCATCAGTGGATTAACAAAATGTGGCATATGTTTACTATGGAATACTACTCAGCCACGAAGAAGGATAAATTAAGGTGTTTTGCAACAATTTGGATGGAACAGGAGACCATTATCCTATGGAAGCGATTTCCATATCCTAAAGAATGGCAAGACAACCACCACATGTACTCAATATTAAATTGGAATTAACTGATGAGCAGACATGTGCACAGAC